CACACACACACACACACACACAAGAGGAGAGATAGGGACGATAGATGTTTGAAAAGACAGAAGGAGCAAACCAGGCCATAGACCTCGCCAACACGCCAACCACCCACATACCTACAACTTGAAATGGATTTTCCCACAGAATATTTTGCATGCAGGCTATTATGTCATGTACAACAACATTCTCCTTTCCTAATAGCCCCTTTTCGGTAGGAACAGATTAGGAACACGTTATGACGATGAATAGAAATAGAAGGAGTAGACCACAGTACAAAGAGAGTCTACCACGAACGGACTGTAACCTTCGTCAGACACATAAAAGCACAATGTGCATACGAGAGTATAGACATATTACACGTGTGAACGGACATTATACTCTCTCCCCTCCACCCCCCTCTCTTTCTCTCTCACTCGAGCTATCAACATGACACACAAACGCATAAGGCAAATACGAGCACATGGTCTTATATTGCGTGTGCAGGCACATATACATGTAATATACACTCTCTCCTCCACCCCCCCCTCTCTCTCTCAACATGTATCTCTATTTTACTCACTCACAAAAACACACACGCATGGACATAATATACACATAAGTGCAGATATTATGCGCACTAGTGCATGGACAACCAACGAAAATATGAACGCTCTCCCTCCCCCTCCCTCTTCTGTTTTCTCTCTCAGAGATTCTTTGGAAAAACTAACATTCCTTCGAATAAAAACGCGGCGCTCTCAAGATTTCTAGACTCGAACGTTCTCCATATTATCATGAATGCCCTTTTCGCACAAACCACTCTCCCCCGCCCCGCCCCCTCTTCCCCTATCTCTCCCACACTACATCCCAACCCCACACACACACCTTTTTTTCACCCTAGCTTGCCCACAAGCGCCCGTATCAACCACCCACCCCCACCCCTTTCCCCCAGCCTTCGCCAACACCCCCGTGGCAAGGTCACAGAGATTTTGTTGACTAGCGTCATACGGGCCTCAAACCTGCGACGTACCAACGAGACCGGCAAGAGATCAACCATACCACGAAGGAATAAACAGTTGCTAAGTGGGTTCTGTTCAAACGACTTTCTGCAGCATAAAAACAATACCCCCCCCCCCCCTTGAAAAAAACAAAAACAAACAATGAAGAAACAACCTTTTGTTTAAAAAAGAAGAAAGACAGAAGAAAGAACATTCCAGAAAAGATATTCCAATCCATCCAACTTGCAAAATAACGCAGGGTTCTCTCAAGGTGTTACCAACATTCACAAATGTAAACTCAAACACACTGCCACACGCACGCGGCGCGCACACTCACACACACGCAAAAACTTACAGAAGAGAAAGAAAGACTAGATCTATATGTATTAGCTCTTCGGGACTGCATTTTTATAAAAACTATGACCGGAATGTTGCCTTGTAAACATCTTTATTTCCTCATTACAGTAAAGTACCATATACGGTGTGTCTAACACGTTTGGTATTCATAGGGACATAAACTGAGTCGTTTCAACTGTGGAGACCTCGATCTAGGCTAGGGCGGAGGAAGAAAGAAGGGGAGGTGCAGAGGGGAGGGGTACCCCAACTGAGAGAAATTTAAAAAATATGTAAGATAATATAATCTAATTAAATCTAAGACAATTGTTATCCCTGATCCATATCTCGAACTTAGGCGAGCTCGCCGCGCATCAAGTTCCCAACGAACTCCGCCACAGTCCCCCAGCGCTATCGCCGTGAGACGGGCATGTTGATGGGTTGCAGTTCTTTTTATTGCAGGTGTTTCACGTCCCCCCCCCCCCCCCCAACGACACAATTTAGATCGTTTGAGAGGTGGGCCTTAACCCTGCCTGACAGGGCCACCCCAACCCAGGCTGAAGGGGACGACACAACGTCCCAAAAGATCATGATGTTTTGAACAACTCATCCACGAGACACATTTGTATAAATTTCATATTCTATACATGACAGTGTCAATGACACGACAGTAGCATCATTGAATTGCAAACGAGAGAGAGAGAGAGAGAGAGAGAGAGAGAGAGAGAGAGAGAGAGAGAGAGAGAGAGAGAGAGACCCCCTTCCCCTACCCCCCCCCCCCACCACTATTCCAGGAAAGGGAACGAAATCGAGCGATTACGGAGCAAGAGAAATAAGCGAGTATTGGCGAGAGACTGAGATCTTCCGCAGTTCAGTCACAGTTATTCCCCCATTCTCAATGCACTCATTGCAAGGCTCCAAAAGTTGATTGTTGGTCGTTACACCTTTCTCAAAAAGGAAAGTATGATTGTGAAAATGTAAACAAGAAACATAGTCCACACAAAGGCTTTCAGGTTGTAATCTGAGAAAATAACATGCACTAGAGACTTAATGTTCTCGAGTAATAACAGTGTAAAGATATTATGAGCTTTACTCTTAATGCACTTGGCTATTTTAGCTCTCTGGACCAGATAATTTGGGAATCCTTGACTCCTCAGGCTCAGTCAACACAGATTGTGTCTGTGTAATTTTTTTTTGCCGACTTTAAAAAAATGCCTACACCTCTTTTTGTTTGAAGTTTTAGAAGAAAATTATGTGAAAAACATTTTTCAGACAATTTGATGGATTATGGTTAAAATATCTGACTGAGTTGGAGTTAGCTGACACTGTGTGAGAGGAAACATATGCAATGGGACCCGAAGAACGAAAACTTGTGAGGGAAATATACAAGTGTTGGGCTGTGAGGGTTGATTCCATGAAAGCAGAAAAGACATGGGCAAAACTAATTATAACAAAATCATCTAAAGATATCACTCGCAGTTGCAAATATTTGCTGCTTACAGCAATGAAAACGTCTGTCACAGTTTGGATAAATCTGATTAGAAAGACAGGGACAAATGAAAGAAGAAAGAAGAATCGATTGCACCAGAGTCACGCCCCCCCCCCCCCCCAACCACCAAAAAAACAAAACAAACCCAACCAAAAACCAAAAAGCCCCACTCACCTGGTTAAATAATAATATAATAAATAGAATTTGTATGGGGCACACTCCCGCTCAACAGCAAGCTACGTGCACTGAACAATCTACATTTAATACAACAATGCCCAATACAAGCAAGGGGGAATGTTTTAAAAAGCAGACATGTACGAGTTGTGTGAAACAGCCTACCTTTCTGCTCACTGCCTGTGGAAGACCTTCGAGAACTACTACTTGAGCTTTTGCCTGTGACAACAGAATACACAAACAATCAAAAAATTACGACACATGAAATCTGTCAAAAATACATTCCAATTATGGTCAAACCTGCTCGAACGCTACCCGTACAAGACAATCACCTCTATAAAAATAATCACTTCCCACTTCCCCTTGTGTTTTAAACAATATTATACTAAAATTGTCAAAGAGGTCCACCTGTCTGGAACGGCAAACTTTCTCTGCCACAATGGGTGGCTGTCTTGAACAATTTCAACTGTAACTAAATTAGCAGTTTTATAGCTAATCAGCATTAAGACAGTTATATTTCACCATAGTTTACATTCATACATTATCGTTAAATAAGAGACAGTTATTATGAAAGGTGTCTATGACTGTCTCTCAAAGAAAAAATTTGATTCGTTTGGATGGATTACACAACAAAATGTACCATGTTTTACATAGAATCTGACAGCATTTACCATAGTTAGAAAACATCACACTGTGACAGTTATACATTAACATTACCCATGGTAATCCTTCTTTGCACACATGCATACTGACAAAAGGAATTTTTAGAAGTGACGGGAGAAAGAAGTTTAAAAAAAAAATTTTTTTAATGAATGCATCACATACAATAATTAATAAAGGATAAATGTTTTTATGACTCCAAAATGACAAATAGAATGTAAAGAACCAAATTCCTGAGAAAAAAAAGGTGACTGAAAATCCTGATAGTGATGGTCAAACTAAAACAGACAAGGTAGGTGTGTGAGTGTGTTTCTATGTGTGTGTGTGTGAGTGCGTGTAGGTGTAAGTGAGTGAGATAGAGAAAGAGTGAGAGAGAGAGAGAGAGAGAGAGAGAGAGAGAGAGAGAGAGAGAGAGAGAGAGAGAGAGAGAGAGAGAAAATTGGTACGCATAAATATAAACTATAGTAAATCAAAATACAGGTTTAAAAAAAGGACCCCTTCCATACCAGATTTCTGCGCCAGAGACGAAGCAAGTTGACTTGACTGTCTAATTAGAGAAACGCGATAAAAATAATTCCTCCAAAATGTCTCTTCATTCACACTGTGGATAAAAAATGAAAAAAAAAAAAAATCAGAATGAAGTTTTTCAGGGGGTGAGCAAAAATATTTACATTAGTTAAAACGAACGTATAATTCCGCGACAATCTTAAGATTGCACTGCGCCTTTTAACAATCTTATAATTGTATAATTCGTGTAAGCTCTTCAGTTTCATATCTTAACTTTAAGTTTTATCTTCATATTTTTACACTTTTGAAAATATATGTGAATGTTTCTTCATGTGAGTAAAATATTAAAGATGGAAGTGAATTTTAAAAAAAATTATTTCAAAAATGTAAAATATTAACACAATTTTCAGATTGCCAAGCAATTAAACAATCGTTAAAATGCGCAGCGCGATTGCGCCGATCGCTAAATTGCACGGAACACTATAATGGCTAGACCATTGCACCGACAACCATAAGTGTTTGAATCCTTGTCTAGGCCTGCTGTTTGGTTCTTGACAAAGGAAATTTCTACAAGTTTTCCTCGCATCAGTCAGGTAAGGATGGGTAACCCGTTAAAACAGCAAAACACCTTGTTGTTAGCATGTGACCACCAGGTAAATGGCAGCTCAGACCTACTGTTTCTCAGGATGCTGAGAAAGTTTCTGAATGTCACAGGAACACAAAAATGTGTGAATGGGTTTATAGCCTCTATCAACACAATCAACACAATCAGGTATTTAAGAGATGGGACCTCCGAGTTTAACGTCTGTTTCCGACAGGACCAAAGCCAAATGACTTGAGAACATTGAAAACTCCACAAAATGACCCGAGTTCAAGACCGCCCACTCCAGGATTCAAATCAGGGCCATCTGCTCTGTAGTCTAGCATGATACCAACTGAGCTACCAGAGTACCCATTACTGGAACTCCAGAGGTAAAAATTAATTATAAAGAAAGAAGGGCTTGCATTAATGTTGGAATATTATGCACTGTATGAAAGCAATCTGTGACAACAATAAAGGCCACATTTCAGGACAATAATAGCACTGAAAGAAAGACTTGACTACCCAGAGCTGTGCTGATAAGTATTACACCAGATTTCACACAAAAATGCCCACTGCATGACGAAGAAAAAAATATTTAATTTGATTCTCACGTACATCTACCAAACAAATTTCTTTAAAATACAAAAGATGCAAAATTTTATTTCATATATAACTGTACCAACTAAAACATAATGGTGCTATGAAGTAATTTTATGTCAAAGAATTCACAACCCCTTATGTGAAGTAGTTGTCATAGGAAAAGTATAATATACATCTTAACATCTCTCCTGCATGGAACATTGGTAATCTTCACTTCAATATTAAAAGAGCAACAGGTCATCATCTCTCCCCTGCTCAGTTGCAGGTGGAATTTTTGCTGTATACCAACTTTAAGTCTGGAAAAGTTGAGCTCATGGCTATATGTTATAACTTAACTCTTTCCGGACGTAGTTTTTTTGGGTCTAGACATAATTAACTTGCGGCTCGATATGGCTATGCAGGTGGTGTAAAAAATAACTTCATAGAAGCATAAACCATCCATCAAAACGTAACATATAATATACCAAATTGAATGAGAAATACATTCCAATATGAAAAAAGGATTAATTCTGAACATAGGTAAGCATTAGAAGGGTTAGAAATGGCAATGGTGATGAAAAAAATAAATTTTGATGGAAAAAAACAATCCACCAAACATGTGAAAGCAAATCAGCATAGCTATCCTATCATATACTGGCCAAAAGCATAATCTATAAATTTCTGAAAGCGCAGCTTTTTATTTGAAAGCAATATTCCAATTTTTGTTTGAGTTGTGATATTTATACTGAGTCCTGTTACATCGTTTTGCTGATGCAAGACCGCAAGAGCTAATTCACCTGTTTTTCCCCAAACCCATGCTTTGACACAGTGAAACTAGATGTTTTCATTTCCTAAATCCTTTCAGAGTTTTTCAATGGCAATAACAAGTAATTATAAATGACGGATTGTGTTAAAAAGAAACAAAAGTGAGGTACCCTATTACAGCCGATGTATCGGCAATACGTCCGTAAGGGGTGTAGACTCGCTCTGATATATCGGCGATATGTCCAGAAAGAGTTAATACGCAGGTGTGAAGCACCAATATGAGACTACCCCAAGGGCAGGAATTTGCTTAGCCCAATTGAGAGATGTACAGCTAAGCTACATGTAGGAGCGGCATTAAGTTATTGGTAAAGAACGAATAGGACTTGTATATTTACACTTTTGGAACCAGGTCAAATCGCATTTTCTGTAAGTTCTTGTCCTCCTGTAGGGTTGCCAGGGCAACAGGGTAACAGCTGTTGAAGTCAAACTGGAACTGGACACCCGATGGAGGATTTCGCACAAAGTTGCGTTTGTCCTGCACACAAATAACGCCAAGAATACACTCATATGTACTGATGTACTGAGGTCACATATGATATACACATGCATGTGCAGCAATCACATTTAATGACAAAGCTTCGTTTGATATAAACAGAACATCAACCTCTAAGAGGGCATAAGACCTCTTTATCATAATTTCTTTTCACTTAAAGTATAACATTTTAAAATCTTTTTCTCCAAAGAATTAACTTCTCCCCATCCCTAAAAAAAAGATTATTAAAAAGTATCTGACACAAATAAAGTCAAAAACAAACCACACAAACCCTAAAACAAAATCCCATTTTTTTAAAAACTCAAATTACACCCATACAAACATATAAAGGCAAAATGACTGCAGATTAAACGAATACACCACAAATTCCAAATTTATTTACACACTTTCAAGCCATCTATAGATATGTTTAACTCTGAAATCTTATCATATCATAGTTTGTAAGCAATTATGTCAGTACTGTGGGTTATACCACTATCTAATAGCATCACATTGCATACCATAGATACACATACACACACACACAGCAAGAGAGAAACAGAGAGAGGGAGAGAGAGAGAGAGAGAGAGAGAGAGAGAGAGAGAGAGAGAGAGAGAGAGAGAGAGAGAGAGAGAGAGAGAGAGAGAGAGAAAGGGGAAGGAAAAGACAGAGAGGGAGAGACAGAAAGGGAGAAAGAGAGAGACCGATGGAGAAAGGGAGGGAGGGGGAGCAAGAGACATCGAGAGAAAGAGAGAGACAGAGGGGGGAAGAGACAGAGAAACAGACAGACAGATAGACAAGGAAAGAAAGATAAAATTTCAAAGACTCCTCATTAATATTCTGCAGATACAAATACACAAGGGACACTATGCACAAGCTTGAAATATTTACAGGTCAGAACAGACCTACAGCAACTGCAGACCCCTGATGTGTGGGTATTGATCTAACAAGAATAGATGGGTCATAAAACTTGTTATGATGGTAAGGCACAGGGTCATTTCAATAGAGGTCAAGGGAACTGATGTAAACAATTCCCTTACAGAAAAGGAATAAAAATACAAAAGTTGAGTAGAAGATAGGAAGAAAAAAAGAATTCTAAATGGGCAATAGAATGCTGATCTCTAAACAAGAAGTTCTTTTTTTCCCCCTTTTTTTTTTGGCTTGATCCTCCCTGAATGTTGATCATCACATTATAGAGACGTTCAATTATTGCCATTACAATAGACTGTTAAGTTTGAGCCCGAGTCTGAGTTACTAAGAAGTACACTGACCCAATGAATGTAAAAACCACCAGCTTTGAAAAAAAAACAACCCAGGAAGACAAGAGGGAGATAGGAGACAAGTGATACAGGCCAGAGCCTCTTAAGACTCTTAATTGTTTATGCCTTTTGCCCCCACTAGAGATAAGAGAGAGGAAGGAGAAAGGCAATATGCCTGGGACTCTATTGTTAATGTTTTATGCCCCCATTAGCAAAGTTTGCAACATTACACAAGGTGGCCAGCTTCAAACCTGAGAACCTAGATATATCCCAGCGGAAAGAAAGAAGTATTTGATAAGATAAAATACACTCCCAACATAATCACATACATGTCCTTTGTGAACAAGATCAAGTTTTTGTTTATTTCATGAGTACAGTATCATAATATTTAACTACATAATATGAATCATATTACATGTACAAAGCAAGCAAGAACTGTCGGTTGTTTTACCTGTGACAGTGCCAGTATTTGAGTCTTGAGATTCTCTTCATCATTATAGCCAACCCAAGGAGAGACGGCGGCCTCTTCCTGTTTCACTTTCTCTTTCTTGGCTTCAACGAACTTGTCCTGCTCTTTGGAAAAGTCCCCTAAAATAGTCTGAAAAACAAATTCAGATGCAAGACTAAACTAAGAGTTGCTGGTGTGCTGTAGTTTAAAATGTGTGGCGAGTCAAAGCGATACTTGACACATTCCACCCCACATGATGATGCACCAAAAGGAGAAACATTTGCAATATTGCATGAGGAAAAAGCTAAATAAAAACTGGTACCGATCAAAAACAGAAAGCAGTGACACTTGTCCATCGACCATCACTGGAGGAACACAATAATTTAATAAGGAACACAAGGGTTATCGTGCAGACACAATTCCATTCATGAAATATATCCACTAATATATCCCCTGAAGAATAAGAAAGGACCCAAAGCTACTGCAAGAAACCGGGTTTTCTTAAATGGTACTTAGAATCAAACACATGAAACATTAAAAACAGTATTGGTGGCTATTCTATAAAACCAATATTATTCAGGCAGATTTTCAGGCAAGGTGTGCAATTTTTATTGTTAACTTAACTTATTGTATTCTTCTTTTTTTTCCTTCATTCCCCTGCTAGATCTAGACAGATAGTTCTTCAGTCTGCAGTGCAATTAATTTTTATGAATTTGACTGTAATTTCTACTTCGTAGGGCCCCTTGCCTTTCATTTTTAACACTTTGCAATCACACAGCCAGCAGTACAAAATACCCCATCCGGTCACCCAGCCAGGAGAGTGACTGCAACAGACTTCTCGGGTCTGGCGTAGAGCTGCGCCAGGTGACCAGAATGGATAATTTTCACCAGCGCATTATTGCACCAAGTGACCGCAAAGTATTAAGGCAGCAGATTACACTTTCAAAGGAACTCTTTATTCCATTTGATACTAAGATGAGTGTTTTCAATTTTGGTAGATATCAATTTTGAATTTTGCTTGGGTGGTGGCTGAAGCATACTTTTATCAATTTCAGCACCACCAAAGGATCTTTAACACAAGCAACTTGCGTATGAGACTTCTAAGATTCTTTGCCCTTATCCTAGATTTTACTAACCTGAAGATCAGTGGTATGGCTGACAGAAACTAATATGAAGAAGTCACAAGTAACAGTAGACAGAGACAGGAGCAAAGGAGAGAGGACAGAGAGAGGATGAGATTGGGGTGCAGGGAGAAGGGAGAGGACTTATACTGTTTTATTATAAGTTATATTTATATATTTTAAGTTATTGTCTGTAAAATAAAAAGATCTTACCTTTTCTTCCACAGTGTGCTTGATTTTGGTAGCAGTGTCAGCAACTGTTTTACTCGCTGCTTTTCCAAAACTAAAAAGTATATCTGGAAAGAAATGCAAAACTCTTCAGGGTAACCTCACTGTATTATTGGAGATTGCAAAACAAAAACTTTCAATATGTCTTTGAATGATTGGGATCCCTTAATTTGTCGAGTTAATTGTCTTCTGAAAGATTTTATGAGAATGGATTTGTCAAAATTTCATCTCCATTGCATCCTCTTACTTTAAAGTAAATAAACATTTCTAAAATGCTGGATTCCTGGTCCATCCCAATAACACAATGCCGACCCGTGAAAATCTAGCTTAAGAAACCACTCTTAGGCTTTCCCAAATTCACAGAGAAGTCTAGCTATATCAGTTCCTTCCCGCACTTCTTGCTGGCAAAAGGTAGTATGGTCTACCACTCTTTGAGCTTCTCGGTAGTAAGAGGTCAAAGCTGATAGATTATGCTTTTTCTAATGGAAATCACTTTAAATAGACTTTGACCTTCAGACAATTTTCCCCACAGAAGCTGGCTGACAATAATCAGGTAACACTGTTCTTGGTCCATGCAAAGTGCATATTCAAAACTATCTTTTCAAAAGCTAGAGCAGTGAAACAAACAGTATCATCATTATGATTAATTGAGGAAAAATAATCCTTCTTTACATTCCATAGTATAAACTTTAGAGCTATTTCATCCTAAGTGGCATTCAAAGTAATCAACAAAAAATAGACACACCACAGTTGACTTCAGCTTTTAATAGTAATAATAGGATGAACCAATGCAATTTGCACTTTCAATGTTCTAGGACAGTGAAGCCCAACACTTCTCTTTGCCAAGGCCTTTTTACAGAGCTAACCCTCCTTTGATCATTTCAATCACTTACTTTTACATTGACTTTTCATTTTTGTAAAAACTGTGATTGTCACTGCTATTATTGTCTTTGTCATTGCTGTTGCTTGTCTTGACTTTGCTGTTCATTAAGTAAATTTTTATACTGGCTGATCAGAAGCCCTCAACTGTTAACCCTCATCCTGCGGGAGCCGGGTTTATGTAGCCCGATAAGCCTATTTCGGCACCTCGCCTGCGTTCTGGTCCCGAGTCAGTGTAGCTCCTGGATCAGGGCACGCGCAGCGCGCATCCTCTTACGTGTCATTCGGGTCCCGAGTCGGATCCCCATTCACGCAGGTCAAGTGTGTGTGCGTCAGTCTGCTTGAGTTTGTGTGCGTTTGTGGCCTTCTTCTAGAACCACCTGCGTTGGTTCGTAATCGAGGCATACGTCTCATTCAAAACATGCCAAGTTGATAGCTCTAGATGTTCGTCCAATGAAATTATAGAAGAAATTGACCCACTTAGACATGAGAAGCTCGAAAGGATAGTCAGGAAACAAGACTTCCATTTTTCTATACAAAATATTTCAAATGAGCTTGATTTTATATGACATGATACTACCTGATAAAAGATGAGCTTGTTTAATAGTTTTGAATACCCTTGTGCAGGTACAAAGAACAATTTGAGTGTAAAACATTCGGAAATTGACCTAAATTATCCCTTTTCGAACCTCAGGTCATTCATAACAACAAGAGCGTCCAGAAAGGTTATTCAAATGGGCGTAACTACTCGTAATGTCTTATCAGCTTGTGAGAGGGGGTTATTCATGTGTTTGTAACACTTTATAAATAGAATGCTATGAAGGATAGAGCGTTATTTTCATCATCAGTTAACACACTCCCGCGGTATTCATGGCGAAAACACACGTTTCCCGGCGCGCGCGCTGTACACCAACAGTACACACTGAGTGACCCCGGCGGCCTGCCCGGCGAGTCCGACGTAATCGGTTGCTGATAAGATACGCATCTGGGCACAGACGCAGGATAAGAGTTAAGACTGCCTGAAAACATGTCATTGCCACTAATTCCCTCATCAAAACCAAGCCAATCACCTTCACTTTCACCACCTCAGCATGAAAAGATACTTTCTTTCAAGAAGTTCAAAGAAAAAGACGAAATTTGACATTTTAAAAGAAAAAACACCCAAACTTGTCAAAAAAATTAGTTGCGAGGGAAATATTAACGTTAACATATTAATTTGCAGCTTAAAAAATGTTCTCTAGCTTCTTAAAACTTTTTAAAACGCAGTTACTACTTGGAATTTTATTTTGACACAAGAGAAATGTTTATTATCTATTTTCTACAGATCAATCTGAGGTGGAAGTATCCTATTCCAATTACTCTAAACCAATTTTCAAAACTATCAGTTCCCGTTCTAGAGGCTGTGATTACTGTGGAACAGACAGTCTCCTACAGAGCTGCTTAAATTTTCTAGTGGTAAAATCAAGGCCATGGGTGTTTTTAAGCCATTGCATGTGCTGTAAGCGTACCTGGTATACCCTTATATTTTGTTACTGTAAGCATTGTAGGCTGTTACACCCTTAGACTTAAAAACCAAACCCATGTTTCGTTTCATTCCCATCTTCACTTCTAAAGTCGCGAATGAAGAGAGTTAAATATATATCTGTCTCTGTCTCTAAGTCTTCAGTAACAATTTGAGGATTTGATCATCTCTATTTTTAGGCTGCTGTGCGCAAGAATCACACATGATAGCACAGGACTCCCCTTTTCAGGGTTAGGGCTAGGGTTTAGAGTTAGGGTTAGCCTTGGCATATATAGATCTATGCCACTCTTTTGTATGTTGTTGGTCGGCCGGCCCTCCGGAACTCCTTCCAAGTCGAAATTCATCATGTGTAAGAAGTATATGCCTACTTGTAAGAATAGATCTAGGGCAGGCTTTGACTTTGACTGCACAGTAAACTAAAAATAAAAGTCAAAGTATCCTAAACAATGAGTAGGCCCTAGTCAGGCTAGTGAGTCAGTAGTATTGTGAGTATTATTAGTGATATTATTAGGACAGAAAGTCTGGGAAAGGCAGGTTTAGAACTAGAAATATCCCGTTAGATACCATAGCCATAGGATATTTCAACTCAACTACTCACTTCCAAATTCCTTGGCAGTGCTGAGAGCCTTTGCGGACACGTCTTCAAGAGTATCTAGTGGAGATACATCTTGCGAAGATTCAGACGTAGTTGATGCCTTGCCCTCCCCCTCTGATTCAGTTTCTGTCAGTCCTTCTTTAGAGCTGACACTTGTCTCGACTGACGTTGAGCTAATACTGTCTTTGCTTTCAGAATGGACATGCCCTTCATTCTCTTTATTTTCTTCTTCTTCTTTCGGTCTTGACCCAACCCCTAACCAGCTCGTAACTGAGCTAAACATGTTTGAAAGTTTCTCAACAGCTTTGTTTACGTTTTAGATGATGGTGGCAAGGGCTCGATAACACTTCCTTTGCAGTTTCAACATAAACATAAGTCACGTGACGATACGATTTTTTTTTTAAAATTTCGTCGCAAATAAAATCTATTGATTCTTTGTTGGTAAGAATGTCAAAATTAAACAACTGGAATATCAGTCGAAAGATTTTTTCCGCCTAGAAACTTTGATATTTTTATGAATTATATCTCATAAGTACGAGAAGTCCTGAGTGAACAGTGAACAGCTGTTTCCGGTTTCAATTTTCATTTCAATCCAAGATGGCAACCTTCTTCGGAGAAATACTTCCAGTTAGGTCGAGGGCTGTTGATGATGACGAAGATGACGACTTTCGGGGTCCCATAGAAGGGTTAGGTTCTTATATCTGAGTCAAATAGATCTAGAGTCTTTACAAATGTATCAAATCTGAAAAATATACTCGATCTCAAACAAATGAAGCTCTCATTCATCTCGGGAGATCTCGCTAGCAGACTGAACTGTCTATGACTTTACTAATCACTAATCTATCTAGATTCTAGATTCTAGATCTAATCTAGATTGTAGATCTAGATCTAGAATCTAAATTTTAGGCTACTCTCGATCTAATCTAGATCTAGAATCTAGATGATGGTAGATATCTTGATCTAGATATCTCAAATTAATTATATTTATTAAATTATAGGGCACTAGTTAAGATATGCCGTCCCGCCGCCATGGGCCATGTTGGTTTGTTTACATCAGCAACTCAAAAATGCGACACATGTTTTGTTTAGATTTCTTCTAACAGCAAGAATCCAACTGCAACTTATTGCCCAGTGATTGCGGTTGTCCCCCCGAAAGTGCGCGCTAAAGTCGGAACAAGGATTTTAATTAGCCTAAAATAACACTCTGGGTAATAAACATGACCTCTATTTCTCTGGACGGTTTCCGTTTTCAAGATTAAAAAATTTTTAGCGAGAGTTCTGCGCCGTCTTTCATTCTGCCATTCTGGGAGGACTTTGAAGAAGCATTTTTTTGCATCGAATTCAAAAATAGCTTGGTATGAACAGAGTAAGGAAGGGAGAGATGAAGAGAATCAGAACAAAGACAGACAGGCAGAGAGAAAGACGGAGAGAGAGCAAAACAAAGATAAAGAGCTTTAAGTACATGTGCAGTGGACGGCTTGAGTTGACAGGAGCAATGAAGAGGGAGGGAATGAAGACATAAAGACAACACGAGAGAAAAATAGGGAGAGAGAAAGGGAGTGGGAGGGAGAGAGAGACAGACAGAGAGAGAGAAAGTGACATTGAGTGAGAAAGAAAGAAAATAGATTGAGAAACAGAGAGAGAATAAGAGAGAAAATAGAAGAGAGAGAGATAGACAGAGGGAGACAGCCAGTCAGACAGACAGCCAGACAGAGAAACCCAGAGAAGGAACCAGCAGAGACAGAGAAAGAAGTAAAAGCTGCCAGAGACAAGAAGACCCTTGGGGATCGCTTGATCCGCCAATAATGGCGCCCGACCTTTTGTAGGAATTTCTCACATTTCCCGCCTGGTTCCACTGGGTCTTCGCAGTTTTTTTGTTGTTGTGCATGTGCCTTTGCCCCCTCATATTTTCAAGCAAGCTGAGGATTCTCCCCCCTCCCCCTTTTTTTTTGGTCTCGTCTCCTCCCTCCCCTCCCCTTTCCTTTTTCGCCTTTCCCCCATGCTTTGTTTTACAGAGCATTCGGAGAACGAGTGTTCAAGTTTATTTTCTCGAGAGTTCAGAGAAGTAGAGTTCAAGTGTATTTTCCCTAGCGTTCAAAGAAATAGAGCCGGCCAAATAAAAAATCTGGGGGGTTACAGGGGCATGCCCCCCTGTTTTAACCCATAATTTGATATTTTGCAGTAACTTTGTAAGGTTTGAAATTTTTTGGAAAATAATTGATGTGCAACTGTTTTAGTGGCTTTATGTGTGATCTGCAGCAAACAAAACTGCAGTTGGACCCCCGAAGAAATGTATCTGTGTGCGGGAGTGAAAGTAAAAATTACCAATTATAGTATAGGATAGGATGCCAACTTCCTACTACTATTAAGCATTAACTCCTCTTCTGCATCTGTGCCGAGATGCGAGTCTTATCTACTAATAAGACCCAACTTCTTCCTGTGGACGTTCCTGGCGGGCCACCAGGGTCACTATTAGTGTACAGTACAGCGAGCGGCCCTGGAAACGTGTGTGTAAGATTGAACTAAGGATCGGCCTTGCTGTGTAATGCCATACGGTGGTCCGCTCATGCCTTTTGCTGCTACCCACTCCCACTTGTGCCTCCTATATCTGCATCCTCTCCCTTCTGGTATATTTCGTCAACTGAACGTTTCTAGCAGATTTGTCGACTGCAAAGCCTGTGCGTATGCACGCATGGCTAGACTCATGCACTGATTGGTCCATCTAGTCACGTCACGGCACCACCACCACCATGTCTCCCCCTCTATTTTAGAGGGGCAACAATTAGGCGCTCACGTGCACTAATTTGCATTGTTTGAACTGATAGGTCATCTGGGTATCTCTGCATTGTCTGGCTCATTTTAGTTGGTTTCTGTTGTTTGTTGATGATGCATAATGTCATACCATACAATGGCTTCCTACCGTGATTAATTTGGTTTATTTCGGTTAGGGGAGATATTAAATTCAAATAGACTGAAGGCGTGGTTGAAAACCTTGAAACTACTAATTGACTTCTTGAGCACAAAGTGTAAATGTGGTAGGAATTTTTCGTTATTGAAGATTAATTCTGCTTCAGTGGATATGGAAATTTGGAGGTGCCAAAACAGACACTGCAGGAGGAAATTAAGTATCCGAACTGAGAGCTTTTTTTCCCATACGCATTCAATATTACAGACAATAGTAGAATTCATTTATTTCTGGGCAGCAGACCATTCCAACAAACAGTGTCATCTAGAGTGTGGTGTTTGTGAAAAGACTCCATAGTAGATTGGTTTAACTTTTGTAGGGATGTGTGTGAGGATATATATTAGATTGTGATCGGTGCGGTTAAATTGGAGGGAAAGGTGTGGTTGTAGAGGTTAATGAAAGTAAATTTGGAAAAAGAAAATATCACACGTGGAAACATGTATGTAGATGGTGTTTGAGTTTTTGGAGGGATTGAAAGAGACAAAGGAGAATTATCAGAATTGTTTTTTTGATGTGATGGAGGCGGCTGAAACTTTGATCCCTCTGATTGAGAAGTTCATCAGGAAGGGATCAAAAACTGTTTCAGACTGTTGGAAGGGATACTCTTCCATTTCTTCACGTGGATATGAACATGAGACAGTGAACCACAGTCAAAATTTCAGAGACCCTGAAACAGATGCACAGAAACCACATCACATAGAAACAATGTGGCACTGTTTAAAAAAAAGTAAAAGAAGTTTTGCAAAGAGCCTCATCGGTGGTTACTGTACAGAGTTCATTTTCAAACGTAAATTCGGGAAGCAGCAGCCCTTTCTGGAATTTCTGAATGCTGTGGGAATTCTGTTTTTAAAGAGAAGAGAAAGGACAAGCATTTATAATCAAAATTACATGGAACCTGGTCCGTCCTCCACTGGTCTCCCTCAGCTGTCTCCCCCTAAAAAGAAAAAGGGCCTTGAATTAAGTAACACTAATACTGAGAACTCTGAGCCTCCTGTTCACGTGGTGAATGTCCTCATCAGAGGAATGGATATTCCATTCTCCTGTCTCCCCCCCCCCTCTCTCTCTCTCCCCCTCCCTCTCTCCCTCCCTCCCTCCCTCCCTCCCTCCCTCTCTCTCTCTCTCTCTCTCTCTCTCTCTCTCTCTCTCTCTCTCTCTCTCTCTCTCTCTCTCTCTCTCTCTCTCTCTCTCTCTCTCTCAACAGTCTTGCAGCCCTCACTCAATCCGCCTCACGTTGCTGAAAACTAGTTTGTGTAGCTGTGGATTAGGACCCATATCTGTATAAGAAGTCCGTTCTTTGGCTAGCACGCATTAATACATGTGAACACAGTGGGTCCACCAAAGTTAAATCCAGCCAAAATGTGTTTTCGGCGTGAAACAATTCAAAATTTTCTACCAACTGAAAATGTTTAATGTGTGTCCTGTGCGCCCATATAACTTTATGCAATTGCGAGGGCTGTAAAGCACTTACCAAAAAACATCAGGAATGAGCTGTCAAGGATAATATAACAAAATAAAAATGTAATATTTTAAAATTTGTTTAATACAGGCTCACAAAAAAAAGTTTTTTTTTTTTCAGTGAACCCATTCTTCACTGGTCGAAGAAAGTGAAAGCAGAGACAGAGAAATTACCTGACAAGAAGGTACCTTGCTCCAATCTAGTCATTTCTATTGGTCAAGAAGCTAATGGTAAGAATTAATATTACATTAAATGATGTTATCAGTTTTAAAATCATGCCCTGTGTTGATAATAAATAATAGATTTAATTCATATAGCAGGGCTTTCCATCATTATAATGAATTTGGTTGAATCGTTACAATTTTTGTTCAACTTTATGAAAATACACCCCTGGTTCCGATTTTAACAAATTTAATTGCAGTTAGGCTACCCCAATCCATCCTCACCCTCCCACAATATGAGAAAAACTGAGACCCCGACAGTATACATGTACTCACTAGATCAGGTGCAGCTGTTTTGCACCTTCTGTGCACAGAGCCTATTTGTACACAATAGTTACTCTGTGCCCCTTTGCCCTTGGAAAAACAGTTTTAAAAAATTCCTGTGCTTTTCCCTGCCCAAATGAGAAAACCTTCTAAGAGAGAAAATGGATTGCAGTGGTGCTTAATCAGGATCTGAGGCCTGTGATGTGTCCCATTTGTTTCACTTGTTTTTCCTTTCTCAATTGGAGCCTGCAGAGACACCTTTCATTTTATAACACTTTTGTGTCTGTTACATTCATTCCTTGAACTTACAACGCCATGTCCTTGACATCCCAGAAAAAAAGATCCTCCATGATCATACTATTTTTAATTTTAAAGCCATATTACTAATTTTATATTTGTTGATTACTAAATAATATGCAGGTGGGTGGATAGCTCTGATATAGTGCATTTCCATTAAGAAGAGAGTGTTCTATGTGATGTACTATACAAAGAATATTTGCACCTTATGAAATTTTTATCAAGTGTCTCGGTTTTTCTGCTGGGATGTTGTATCCCTCTCACCCTGGGTTGGCCCTGACAATCAGGGTCAGAAGCCTGCCTCTTAAATTATCAAAATTGTGTGAATGAAGACGTTGAAACATCTTAGAAAAGATGTTAGCTTCCTTATACTTATGTTCTTTGCATTGTATTTTCAGCTTTTACAGAAGTGTATGTGAAGACTTTCAAGTATGAGATCATTGGAGGAATTTTCTCAAAGATTCAAGATGATGACCCTTGCACTCTATCACAGACGTCTCCTACTGACAAGTCATGTTTCATCTATCGCTGCTACAGTAACCCATCCATCATCGTGTGCCAGTGCAATAGAGATGTGTCTCAAGAACAAAGTTTTTCCTGGGCTAAGCTGGTAATTACTCTTTCTTGTCGTGCTGTTTTGTATGATGAGTTGATACAGCTCCAGGTGTGTGCACTTGATGATGTTTCGCTAAAGGGATGTCTGGGTTGTCTTAGTTATGCACTTCGTTTTTTGAAGTTCCAGTTGAGGCAAACTTTGGTGATTGAAATATTTAGGAGGGGGGAGCTTTTGGGAGGGGGGGGGGTGCATGAAACACAATCAACAAGTCACCTTCTATGTTCACGAATCTGTCGCACATAGCTTTTGATGTTTCAAGAAAGACACTTTTTCAGAAGTAAAGGACTGAGTTAAATTTTTTTTTCCAGTCTGGTATCATTTTTTGCGAAAGTAAATGATGACTAACATGCAGTTTTTATGCTCTTCAGTGTTTTGCTGTGCTGTGGTCTTTCATAGTTCAAGGAACATTGTTTCTGAATAATTTTTAAAATCATCTTTCCAGCTCTGTACAAACATCAACCTTGACACAGCATACATCGCAGTCCTGGCGTCCTGTAGCACTGGGGGCTATTGCAGTGACATTCCCTCTTCAGATCTGGACACACCATTCCTTCGAGCTCTCAAGACAGAAAAATTTGTGGGCACTCCGATCTGTAAAATCTTAGAGCAGCCAAATATGTTGACGGGCTTGCCAGCTCAATGTGAGTATAATTTCTTTATTTTTTATTATAATGATGGTGGCAAAGTGTCCGATTTGATGAAAACGGAATTGACCTGTATTTCTTTTTCTTCTCTTGTATGAAGCTTTATATACTTACATAGCTGCAGCCTCTTTATTAAAAACACATTTAATGTCTTTTTGAGGGTCTAAGTAAGAAAATCCGCTTTTTGTCAAAAAATGGGTATTCTCCATCATCTAGTATTTCTCCTCATAGCCTTGCCAGGTCCTGGATAACAGTGAGAACATAATAGAGAACAAAGCCCAGGAGCCAATTGAAGTTGTTTCCCTTACCAAAGTTAGCTATTGAGCCTAAACCTGTTGAATGCAGAAAAGTGTGTAAAGGATTTTGGATGGGGAGGGGAGTGGGGGGGGGGGGAGATACTTTGCTAATGCCCCCCATCTTGATCTGCCACATGGGTTGAGACTAGGGTTGGGTCGGGCTCGCAAAATTAGCGTCTGCGAGTAATGAACTACCCGCTGGCATTACCTGCAAACGAGCGGACGGGTAACGAACCGTCCGTTTGTGAAGAGTAGTTCGCTACCCGCTACTCGCTACACATCGGACAGAGACAACAATTCGTTTAGCGAGCGAGCGGACCGAGAGACTCCATCCATTCGAGCGGGCGGATGGACGGACAGGAACGACTCCTTCCATTGCCTACAACTT